ACTTCATCTGCAAGGAAAGCAAAAGAGCGAGTTTGTAAGGGACTGCAACCCCAAGATGCTACATGCCTGCGGCCTCAGCGTCTGTGCAAGCGGGCACGCCACAAAAAGAGCGAGAGGGAGTGAGACAGCAACGGAGAGAAGAACAAGGAGACCAGAGTCACTCCAGAGTCGAGAAGGAAATGCCCAGTCGCAGCGCACCCGAAATGTCAGTTCCTCTTAGATTTAATCATAGTTTATGTAACGGGTCGGTGTTTGGAAACCATTCCCACTGTTTCCGCTGCAGTGTCGTTCGTTATTGGACCGGGACCGGGGTTGTTCTCTGAATTCTGCCGGCACGCGGCTTCGGACCCCTCAAACGGCGCCTTCTGCTTGTCTGCGACAGGTGACATCAGCTCTGAAGCAGCCGGCGACGCCGGTCCAAGGGCCATGGCAGCGGTGCCTGCGCATCTCCCATCTCCCGGCTTGCGCTGTGGTAAGTGGTAATAGTAAATGCCTCACTCTACCAACGGCTTGGGATTCAAGACATCCCAGAACCTGCTGCAGCAGTCTCAGCCAGAGCTGGGGGTTCCTCCCCAAAAAAGGCCTGCCAAAGCATCATGAAACGACTGCCACTTTCAGGTGTGCAGGCACCTCGCCTCCTCGAAATCATCCTCTTGCACAGAAGCGGCTGTGGAGTCGATCTCCCGGAGTACAGGTTGCGCTGCACGTTTCGTGGCCAGAGGTTCGTGGAACTTGGCAACTTGGCTGGCAAACCTCGCGTCGGCGTATGACGTCTTTCGCATCCGGATGCCGTAACTGCTCACATGGCAGAAACACGGCAAGCGGCACATCATCCACTGATCTGGGCGCTGAAGGCGGCTGATCCAAAGAGTGGACTTTGGCAGCAGACCTACGCACCAGGGCTTCAGATCCAGTCAGACTGCACAATGCTGTGAACAAAATTTATGGGTAGTTTATTCCACGCTCTGGCTGAGCACAGGCTGGCCAAGCCTCTTCAACATGGTACTGAGGTCAGCGCCTTAGTAAGGAAAGGGCAGAGCCAAGCACGAGCATGAACGATATGATCTTGGTGCAACCCGCGGGACGCAAGTCGCGCATTGCGAGATCGGCAACTTGAAACTTCTTGTCCTGCAACATATCGAGCCGGCTTTGCACTTTGAGGTCGCAAGTGGCTTAATTAAGCGAGGTGCTAGGCTGTTCCACCCTTGACACTCCAATCTCCGAAGATCTGCTTTTTGCTACAGTGTGCCTCAGGCAAGCACAGTCCTACCAGCCTGCTCCATGCATGGCACAACCTCGCAACAAGCTCATGCGTGTCCTCGCTGAAGTTCGGCTGGCGGATTTTCTCCTGCAAAAGCTGGGGAAAGGGACGTCCTGCGTTTGACAACGGGGAATGGAGAAACGGGCCGCCTCAGGCCTCACACATCTGTGGCTTTGCCAGGCAGCCGAAATGACTTCGGCTACTCTGCGTTTAACCGCCAGTGCGACAGCACGCCAGGCCCCGCCACAACTCGAGTACTGGAGCCCAATTCGGCTTCGCACTGTTGTCTTTGGTTAGGTGACGCAGCACATCGCAGCACCTACGACGACGACTACAACAATACGACTCAGAAGCAGTAATGCAGTAACTACTAGCAGTGGCGGAGGAAACGCAACGACGGCCAATAGTAATAAGGACAAGAAAAAGCATACGCAGAATAGTAATAATCAACATTGTTCAGACCAAACAAACGTCAGCTCAAGTCAGCTACCGGTCTGAATGTGTAGGCTCAGACTGGGTGTTTAGTTGGTGTTTGCATATCTTCGCTTTCGATTGTTTGACTATCGGGGATCTTCGAACTCGATGCATCGGGCTTTGCTTTCGTGAGTCGTTGCTTCCTTAGCTTTGCTACCTTTCGGCTTCAGTGTGCGACCTTTGCTCAACCCCCGTACTTGTAACAAGATTTCTTCCTCTGCACCACCCCGTTCAGAATATGCATATCCAGCCCGCAGACATGTGGGCTACGAGGAAGAACAAGAAGCAGCACCGTCGAAGCAAGGACAGCAATGCCGAGTAGCCTGAAGGTCCCTCAGATCCAATACGGCATCCATGTGCCGCGCCCGTCGCTGGAAGCTTGCAGGGTGCAGGGCCGTGGGCACCGGAATGTCTCGTCCTGAACACGTCGGCCAGGATCCGTTTACAAAATCCAAAATCCACCACGCAGCAGCCTAAATGCGTCGCTGAGCCTGGCGAGGCTATACATCAGGCCCCACAGTGTGCCCCACAATCAGGTCGACAACACACGACCTTTGCCAGGGCTTGGCCAAGTCGCGGAGGGGTCCCACTGACACTGCCGAGGCCGCTCGGGCCAAGCCGCTGCCGTGGCCGAGGCTCGAATGGCTTGGGGGCCTTTGCATTCTGGACGGACGCCCACGTGGGATCTTTGGGGATGTGCAGGGAGAAGCCGCGCCGAGCAACTAACGAAAGTTTAATGTTTCAAAAGCGAGGTCTTACGTCAGCAACGCTCGATTTCGGGCCATGATAGCCAGCAAAACCACATGGCTCATCTGGCAACCGAAAGGCCGTGAACGCACGTCCATGTGCTGAGCCAAGCTGGATCTCGGCATGGGCTTGGGAAACGAAGGTTCCTGTCGCAAGAAAGCATAAAGCTGTGAGCCCACCCCCCAAGAGGCCCTTTTGGGCATCCTTAATTAAGCGCTAAGCCCTTAAACCCATTTTTTGGAAAAGTTCGCGGTTGCTTGTTCTTGGACCTCCGCGTGCTCCAGTGGCTGCATCTCCTGCACCAGGGCCGAAAGTATCTGAATGCGAAGATAGTATAGTATGTTGTAGTTTTATATGGGTACGTTTATATGACCCTGTACTACATCATAAACAAGAAATTACTCGAATATATGAATCAACTTTTGTCTTTTGCAACCGTGAATTTCGTCACAGAGACAGCGGAAGTGTGGGCTCCTTCTCAGTTTGCAGCGGCTCCAGCTTGGCACTCGACATGTTCGCTGCCCGCTTCGGAGGCGAAAAGCTCTTGGGGGACCTGAAGCTTGATTTGGGAGTTTCCGAAAATTTGGCGTACCTTCTTTTGGGATCCTTGTAATAAGGATCCTACTATTTATATAGGGTGCTATATTAGGCTCCCCTATTTTCGGAAACTACCATTTTCAGTCTTCGTCCTAGTCTCTGTCCCTCTCCTGTGTGCAATTCTAGGTGTCAGGGGAATGCTGCTTCGCTGGGAGAAGCGCTACAGCCTTTGGAGTCCCATCGGGCAGGAGAGCATGAACTTCGAGCGACGCCTCCCTTGTCCCTTTTCCCACCAAGGCTTGGAATTCCTTACCTTTGGTTAGTAGGGAATCGAAGAATGGTAGTAATATTCCTCCATTCCGTACTAACCAAAGGTAAGATTCGGGCCCCTGAAAACTGCCTGCCTCGCCATGGACAGGAGGGCCGAGGATGGCTTGCCTGCCGCCGGCGTGCGCGGTGCCGAAACCCTGGCCAGCCGGTGGAGCTTAGCAATACAGGGTTTTGGGGTAGAGTCTATAAATTATAAATAAAGAAGCCCCACCCAAAAAATAGTATAGGCTGTTGGCTGATGGAGTCTGGAGGCCTTCGCTACAGCTCAATTTGCTAACGTCTCCTGCGGCCGGTGCCTCGGAGGTCGTGGACCATTTCGGGAATCGCTGACGACCTCGTAAGACATGAACTGTGCGTCATGCCGATGGCAATGAGGTGCATAAGACAGTCGCATGCCTTCAACTCTCAACCCGTCTGCGCACGTGGAATGTTAGAAACGGCTTCGCTCTAACTGTTTGGTGGAAGCACCATAGAAACCATGCCACCCCGGCCTGTGCAGCGGCTTCTTCCGGTCCAGGCGGCTTGGAATCCTAAACACAGCAATTCGGTCTGGAAACTCAAAAAGCGAACAGAACCGATTACAGCTGTGCGAGATTGCGTAGGCACACCTCTAGACAGCTTCCCACAGTGGCCTCGGGGCCACGTGCTTCAGTGTTGCCGTCTTGTGGAACGGGACGTTTCGGTTTTGCATCTTTTCGGTGCCTGGAGCACGGAATTTGCGAACGTGACAATGTATCTCAAAGGACACAGATGGACAAAATGGCTTTTGCAGACTAAAAGCCGCAGCCGATGACCTCTGGCATCGTATCTTGGAACCTTGGCACTTGGCTCTCACGTGCTATCTGTCGATAGTGGCAATTGGACTCCATGATGACAAGAGAGATAGGTCGGCCACCTCCTACCGCATCCAAGATGCTGCAGTCTTCTTGACTGGACTCTTGCCCTTGTTCGACTTCCTCGATCTCGCCAGCTCATTTTTCGGCAACGCATCGGAAGTCTGCCTTGGTGCATCTCAAGCCTCCACTCCACTTGGCTGCAGGATGCAATTTCAATCCCGGGCTCCGGGCTGTAATCCGGCCGGTCCATCAGGCCAGTCCAAAACCGTGCTCTGCAAGTCCTTGAAAGACGACAACAGCTGCTGAGGGCCCGTGCAGAAGATTGCAGGCAAACAACACGATTATGAAGCTGACAGGACATAGTGTCACTGCTCGGAACTCAGGCTTTCAAGGGCCCGCAGCTTCAAGTCTGGGCCTTCTCTGAGTCAAGTTTCTGCGAACTTCGGCGGCTCAATCTGTGCACCGCTAGGCAAGCCTTCTGCTGCTGAGACCACAATGGTGACCTCAACCGTCGGATACGACCAAGCTGGTCGGTTTTAGATCGATGCCCTTCCAGGCCCTCAACCCTCCGCACCAACTTTGGCTCAGCTTGCGGCCATCCCTGGGAGTAGCTCCCACCATCGCTTGGCGAGGGGTGGGAGCCAGCCACATCTTCCCGATCTCCGAGCCGGGAAGCTTTGGACACAAGTCCATGAAGTCCATGTCATCCTCTGCCCGATACCGGGGCCTAGTTATCGGGCGTATGTGGCCTGGGCCTACATCCGACTGCTCTCGGCGGCTATGTCAGGAACAATATGACCCGGTGTCATGTGATCCTAGAATAGAAAGCCAACAGTGGCTGGACGCTTGTGACCAGAAACATTCCGCAGACGAGTGCCAGACTGCAGGATTCGAAGCTGGCGTGAAGGTGCGGCCGTCTGCACTTGCAATAGCATGCAGTGATTCACCTGGCAAATGTCATGAGGTCGCATAGCCAAAAAGCACAAGGACCCCAAAGCGCCAGGTGTGATGGACCGGCACTGCACATGCCCACCTGCCACACTGCCAAGGCTTGCCCGTAAAAGAAGGCGAAACTGTACCTCGGAAGCCATGTGCCATGTCGAAACACGCTGCTTCCACCTCGCTGCACGGACTTCTTGGCTTCCGTGCTGAATCATCTCAAAGATGGCCATGTCCTTGAAGAAAAGCCACTCCAGGAGCACTGACGGGACCACCACCTGGGAGGCTCCAGTATTTGCCAAGTCTGGAAGCGCATCATATCTCTGGACGAGTCACGTCCAAGAGCTGAGGAGCAGGCGGCAGTTGCCATGACAAACATCGTCCAAATGACGGAGTCGCTGCTAAGTTTCAGGATGTTGTGCATGGGAAGCCACGCCAATGTGTAGGCCTGGGTTGGGCCGGAGGAAGGGTTCAATCGAGTACGTCTTGATCTGTGGATGCACTGCACCGCCATGTTCTGCGATGCTGGACCCGGGAGGCAGGCAGCCAGGCAAGTGAACCACCAACTGCAAGGCAAATAAGGAAATACAGCCTCGCCGAACATACACCATCCGATGCTGCGCCACACAGAACAATTTCACTGACATCAACTGTGCCTCTCGATGTTCTTGGAAGCTGCCGCTGATTAGGAAGACATGTGCCTGTACTGGGAAGGTGCCTAGAAGGAAACGCTGCGCAAAGGAACCTGAGCATCGGACCATGAAACTGGTCCAGTCCCAAGCACTGTAGGAGAAAAAGACCACGCACAGAAATATCAATGTAATGACCTGGGCATCCAGACTCGTGGGCATGGCGGCTTCGCATGACAGGAAGCAGTCTGAGAGCATGACATAGGAAGGATACCATGCCATAATTCGAGCCACCTCAATGCTAGATGCACTATCATGCACTATCGCTCATGTGTACTGTGACCTGCCATCGCAGCGGTGGAAGAAGTTGCCGCGTCCAAACGGGAGGCATGACCGTCCAATCCACATTCTACTGACCTGTACCTGCACACCTGGCCGAAACTGCCCGAGCACGCATGCTCCTGCTCTCAGATGCGTGCCATTGCACTGAGCATGTCCTCCTCGAGAGCTGCCTACACAGCAAAAGAAGAATGGTTCACCCATTGAGCGGACAGTGCGACGACTCTATCTTTCGTGGAGTTAGGGTCCTGACCTGCACCCTTGTGTACGACAGCATGAGTTTCATGGAGTTTTGTCTTCACGACAACGCCAAGCACCTCTCTTTTTGGGTTGCAAGCACCCCCTCATGGCATGTCAAGCTGTGGAGTCGACCAGGCTGCCTCTGGCAGGGCAAGGCCAATGACTTTCTACTTGCCCTGCTCTCCCTGTACTCTCGCCTCCTGACTTCTTCGCGTTTCGCTCGCAGCTGCGCGCATAGAGACTCTACCAAACTTTAGGCTGCGAGGGGCACATCGATAAGTCAGAAGCCCGAGAAGAGCTTTCAGCTCTGGAGCGCAGGACTCAGGAAAGGGCAGTGCAGAGTCGCACTGGAAAATAGACTGCTTTTGCTACCTGTACTCGTGTGGCTGCTTCGGCTCACTGGCACAGGAGACACGGCCAAGCAGGCGATGCATGCTCGCGTAAAATCTCGCGAGGATAATTGGCAGCGGCAACTGCTCAATGCTCACCTGCGGCAATCATACGCAGCATGCGATCGACAATCAAAACAAGAGGCTTGGCCGACCATGCCGCTACGACACCTATTGTGCATGCATGTTGCATGTAGGTAATCTGGCAGAGAGCCTAACAGAAACAAGCAGGGCGAAACCTGACTAGACGGCACGAAGGGGCGATGCTGACACATGTCGAGATTGTGCATTGTGGGGGTCATTTCAGCATGTGTACCGTTGTCAACACATCAATATCGGTTTCACAAATACATGATACATATGTACACATACAGACGGCCAAAGGCAGATAACAAGGAACGATCAACAACTTATGCACATCGCTGCCTATTGACTGACAGATGCATGTCGATAGGTTCATCTGTAGCAACTGGGAAAGTTGAACGTACGTGTGGGCATCGGTAGATTTTAACTAGTTCATATAAGCACACAGACACATCTACCTAGCAACCTGCTCCTGGCTATCGGGCTATTGATTTCGAAGGCTCTCTGATGTTGTACATATGTATGCACCAAATCTAAAGGAATGCGCAAAGGGATGCACAAATATAATTTATCATACCTGCGCACAAACTGCAGGTTTATTCCACTACTATGCATTATGGAAGCACACTTGCCCTCGAGAGAATCAGGCGAGGTTTCAGGCATAGCGAATTGGGTACTCCAGTTCGAAGAGATTCTAACTCAAATGGGTCATCCACAACTCAACCTCAGAAGAGTATGTATGTACATATATTTATACAGAAAGCGTCACACTGCAGGCCCGAGTTTTGGACACCTACAGTTTGTATCTCTGTTGCATGCTGTGGCTAATGGCGTCTCGTACAATGCCCCATTCACTTATATCAAATAAACTGCTTACTTCTAAGCTTTGTTGTATAGGCATCTTGTCTATAGGCATTTTGTCTATAGACATCTTGTCTATGTCGTGGTGGGGTTAGACAGACTAATAGGCTCTATTTATGTAATATATATATATATATATATATATATATATGATGCAGGGCTGCCACACACCCCTGCCCCCCCCACCCCATGGTATCCTCCCCCCTTCCCCCCCGCCCCCCCTGTGGTGTGGGGCCTGTGGTGGTACTCTTTTTGCCACGAAGTTCTTGTGATACTCCTTATCTTCCTTCCTGCTGTGGCACCCGTGATCCTGCTCATGATGTTGTGCTGCTCTAGACGACGAAATGAATCGAAAATCAGACCATGCTCAACATCATCCTTGTCGTCGTCATCTTCGTGCTAAATACCATCAAGAGAATCTCTGCCACCATCACCATCGCCATACAACTCTCAAAATTCAGCATTGTAACTCCTGTCAGATGCTGGAAACTACTGCGCCGGCGAGGGTGGGGGCAGGCAGGTGCGGGGGCGAGGCGGGGCACGGGCGGGGGCGGACAACTTTGGGGGGGGGGGGGGCCGGGACCCGAGAGCATATATATATATATATATATATATATATATATACACACACATTTCTGTTGACCGTACTGGTGATCATCGCGCTCCACTGTTTTCCCCCTTTCACGCGAGCGGCTGCTGAGTCCGATGTTTCACTAGCAAGCCTCTGGAACACAGAGGGTAATGCATTGGTAAAACCGGGAAACACCCGGGTCCCACACAGAAACGTTAGCCGAGATTCAGTACAAATTGTCTGTACGAATCTGACCCAACCGTTCCCGTAACGGACGTATGTCACACATACTGCCCCTGCACCTTAAAAGAGGAGAACGGTACAAACCTAAGTCACAGACGACTCCACCGGAGGTCGGCAACCCAGGGCGGGCGGGTGGGAGAAAAGAAGTACCAGCTTTGCCAGGTTTGGCTCTAGCTGAGGCTTAAGCCAAATTTTGCAAGCAGGTACAAGGTTCCTCAGAAATGATACATGCACACCCAAGCCTGCCAAACTCGATGCATGAACACATTTCTGTTGACCGTACTGGTGATCATCGCGCTCCACTGTTTTCCCCCTTTCACGCGAGCGGCTGCTGAGTCCGATGTTTCACTAGCAAGCCTCTGGAACACAGAGGGTAATGCATTGGTAAAACCGGGACACACCCGGGTCCCACACAGAAACGTTAGCCGTTAGCCGAGATTCAATACAAATTGTCTGTACGAATCTGACCCAACCGTTCCCAAAGCACTCCCCCAATGCACTACACTAGAGAAACTCCAGGACTACAACTACCGCCTCTAGCGGCAGCGCCCACAGCTCGTGAGGGAAATGAGCACAAAAGGTGGAAAACAAGTGCGACTGATGCCATGCGTCATCCGCGCCCTCGCGGCTAATGGAGTCACTCCAGTTCGACTTAGACGGAACCCATTCCCAGTAGACCCATGTCTTGAAACAGAAAAGGCAAAGATGGATCAATTGGGCCAGGCGAGAGAGGTCTGCATTGTCTGATCGACCGCGTATAAGGCTCATGAGAGCCGCGGTATTGTCGATATACCATACCCCCCTCCTGGATCTGAACTGGCTCGGTCGAGAGACCAGGGCAAAGAGGACCATGCTCAATTCCAGTTGCGCAATTTTCTTCTCGCCTGGACCCCAAAGGGGGTAGAGGCTAGCTGGCGACGCGGCGACAAACCCTTCGCGCAGCTGGCCCCTTGGGTGTTGCCAGACAATCAGGAATCCGCCTGATCCACGGAGCGGCGCTTCTTCGGCTGCGTCACTCGCAGCTATGAAGCGTTGGGTCTGCGGCCGCACAATCCAGAATTGGCGCTGAGGGCGGAGCCGGAGGATTGCCGAAATCAGGCGAAAGCAAGCCCGGATCTCTTCCGTGAGCCCAATCTCGCGTGAGTTTTGGCGTTCGGACAGAGCTGCCAGCCCCCCGCAACCCACCCGGCCATACATCCCTTGCTCCAAGACTTCTGAGGGGTCCAGTGAGCCTAAGGGATCAAGGTTAAACTTTCAAGCATTTCTAGGATGAGGTTGCCTATCTGGGCCTATCTTATCCGTGGGCCACAGCAAGTTTCCCTTGCATCGCAAATCATTTTCACCGTCGCGGCCATCCGTCAGCACCTGACCTGGGCGGCAGATCCAGCAGGGGCCTACCTGGGTCGTTGTCGAAAATGAGGTCCCTTGTTGCATAACACAATGCCTGAAAAAGTGACCCTGATTTCGACAACCGCACACTTGCGAACAGGATCTACTTGAAGCTTGCACTGCAGCTGCATTCCTGATTAATTTTCTCAATTCCGGCTGCGATTTCTGCAGCTGAGCTCTCGGCTGCCAGGAAGGAGCCCACGAAATCATGGTAGTTTCCTAATTCAGGGAAGTTTAATATAGCGCCCTAAATAATAGGATTCTTGATTTCAGAACCCCAGAATAAGCCACCAAAATATTTGGAAACTCTCATCTCATTGGAAGTATAATAGTTGTACGTGCAAGTCCCGCCCCCCAAGGCCTGGCCAAGACTCGTACTGAACCCCGTCATGAAGCCCCAGAGCACACATGTAAGACCGCTGCGAGACCACCGATTTGGATCATGCGTATGCATGGATGGAGGGATGCATGGACCGATTGCTAGCTTTTTGCACAGATGTATGTATTCAAAACGCAACCGAGCACATGATATCTTCGCAGTGCTCATAGAGGCTCATGTTGTAGGTGCGGGTTTATCAGGGTTTAGGGTACAGTGTCTTGCCTTTGTTGCTGGGGCCGGGTCGCTTTTCGGTTTATGGTTTATTAAAATAGAGCAAAGATGGGTTACACCCGATTTCAAATGGGATGAGGGAGGACATGGAGTGCTCGGCTGGCATGCTGCCTTGGATTTGGGACACATCGCGCCCGCAAGCGTACACAAGTTGCAACCTGGTGAGAGAGAACCCCGAAACAGCAGATCCTCTGAGATATGGTCTTAGGGTGTGTGCGTGTGTATGTACGAGTGTATGTGAAAGTAAGTATGCTTGCATAAATATTTACATACACATACATATGTGCATACATACAGTTCCACATGCATACATAATCATAAGCTTAAATTTCCCTTATACCTTTGACTTTGCGAGCGCTTAAACCACAAATTAACGAAATGAGGCTCCCGACCGGAGGGCAGCAGAAGTGGTTTCCCTGGCATTGCAAGCACTTCGTACTGATTGGGCTTGGGGTTTCATTTGGCCAGCTCACTCAGACTGACTAGAATCCGTGCAATCACAACACAATCAATGGACGGAACGGCAACACTGAGCATTCCACATGGGTCGCTACCG